CGGAGGCCAACCGAGTTTATTGATCGAACACATTCTGAGCACATTTGTGGGAGCAGATAACGCAAAATGTTCCTCGCGATCCGCCTGTCAAAATCATCAACTTGGTGCTTTTTAATGCAAGGGTTCCTCCGGCTCCCTTTTCCGCCCGTAGTTGCCCTCGTTCTTCGTCGGAGATGAGACGTTACAGGTGCTCGCGGCCGTCTGTGTAAGCACACGGGGTGGTTAAGAGCCGCTCATACAAACGTTCATCGATATCGACGCTTGGCACGCGAAATCGTGTCGGCGTGATAGATCGCTATTATGATACACCATCGCTTCGCAGGCTTTTGCAATCGTACGGCAATCTATCACGCATCTGGCATGAACTGCGTAGATTGTACAATTCTGTGTTTAATTCGGGTCAAAAGAGAATGCTTTTGAAATACTGATCTGTACAACGTAAAAGTTGCAAAAACTTTGTTTACAACAAAAAAATTGTAAAAACGTCTATAGCCGACGTTCGAAAAATAAAGACGTCCTTCATAATTTTAACACACTGAATTGTGGACGTTTTAATAAACTCTTTCAGACGTCTGCGTTATCAAGAGAAACGTTTTATTTAGCGTGAAAATATTATGTTCTATGAAACAAATTCGATATTTCAATCGTATAATGTGTATAAATAGAGATTATCATGATTCAAATTAAATTTTCAATAGAAAATCCATTTTAATTAATTAATCAATTAATGAATTACATGAGATTTATATTTTATTTACTAAGAGCTTTTCGAATGATACATCGCCTTCTAACTCTATATCTATAATGAAATTTCTGTTGAAATTAAATGGAAATGTTTTAAGGAGCTTAATGGTGGATTGATTTGTGGGTAGACGAATCACCTTAGTCGAATGTCAATTTTGTCGCTTTTTCATTAGATTAATTACTCCCTGGTTTCTGATAGAAGGCTGTAATATCTCTCTATATCCCTGTAAATATATCACGAAAAATTGTTCCATCTAACACCAAACTGTACGAAACGTTCCATTCGCGTGATAAGCAGCGATCGATTTATTTTTACTCTATAACCAATTTCCTACGCGCTCGGTCGAACCATTTATCGTCCGGATACCGTAAAAAGTAACGAAGGTCATTTATGAAGATAGACGGGTTCAAGTTCAGATGTCACACCATGGCCACTTATTTTCGTTGACTACAGACATATCGATCGATTCGGTGTAATTCGGAGACACAGATCGTTTTTGTGACGGCTTATAATTAATTGAGTGCAACAAGTAGCGCTGAAAAGAATTTTAGTCAGGATAAGAGATTGCAGTAATCTTTATCTTAACAGCGTTTCTTACTTTTAACCTTTTGAGAAGGGCGTCGGCCTCGCGTGTAACTCGATGTCAGTAGCCGCCTAACACATGAATAAGCTGCTTGCACGCGATGCCGATGAGCATCGTATAACGTCGAGCGAACGAAGAGTGGAATACGAATCGCAGTTGCTAGGAAATCAATTCCTTTTATTCCCGGTCTCGATTTCTTATTCCCTCATGTCACGCACTCAATTTATCTTCATATTAAAAAGGATTTATGATAAAAAAAATGTTACGTCTTGAAAATATATCATGTCGTAAGATGTCGCAGAGGTTAAAAGAATAATTAAAAATATCTTCCCTTGATATGAATGGAATAATGATATGTTTTTAAATAAAACATATTTATCTTTAACAAAATCCAGAATTTAAAAAAAATTGATATTAAAAAACATATATACTACAAACACTTTTACATGAAATTTATATTATATGTATGTAAAATTTATATTTACCGTATAGTATTAACTGTTAGTATTTAGTATTTAGAGAGTTTAAAATGATATTTGTATGTAATTAATAATCGCATTCGATACTGAGATATCACAACCCTATTAAAAGCCGTAACTACCGAAAACTGATAGCTGCTAATTATACGATCGGAAACTTGCAGCATCGCATCGCTTGCACATACAAGTTCTTGATTATCGATTTCTATTTAACTTCATATTAAATTTCATTATGTCAGCACTTGTGTGTCGTGATAATAAAAAAAATTGTTTGAATAAATAGTAGTGTAATATAGTAATGATCGAATAATATTTTATTCAGTGACAGTAATTTATACTTTATTCAGTGTTTCGACTAGTAATGTTTTATTCAGTGTTATACGTTTGCAGTATTTTTTCCACGTGCAGAGACACGCGATTAGATTTAATCGCACAACCTGTCTATTTATTAAATAGGCATATTGAGAAGAGCGTTACGAAAAAAACAGGATGTTTCGACGATAGTCACTTGGCAACGACAATCAGTGCGCCGTTTAGCAATTTGATTTTCATCGATCGAGACTATAGATAAAAATTATATAAATTGATTACAAATATAATATAATAGAATAGTATTCTACGCTCAATTATTGATAACAATTGTAATCTTGACAATCATGATGGATGTTATCAACAAATACGAAAAATTTTATAATTTTTTCCATTAACATCATTTTTATTTTTACTGCAAATGTAGTAATAAAATTATTTACTCACAATAATATTTTGACACTTTATAATTTTCATACAAATAATGGAATCACATTCAAATTATATTATAAAAAAATTGCGGTTTATTTATTTAGAATAAAAATTAAAAATTCTTTAGTTGTGGTAAATGATTACGATTTAGGAAGACTTGTTAATGCATTGAATGCGAGATATTCCCAATATATTTCTTATTCACTTTTTACGTAATCTGTGTCTCATATACTTAAAGATTCTACTTCATGTTAGTTAATGTAGCAGTAACGTATTGTTCTCGCTTGCGATCTGTAACCTTTAATCAGGAGAGATACCTAGCTATATCTATTCCTTAACAAAGACTCACGTGGTTCGAAAGGGTGAGCATGATGGTGATCCTTCTGAACTGCATCACGCTCGGGATGTACCAGCCATGCGTGGACGACCAGTGCGTAACGAATCGATGTAAAATACTGCAGGTACGTAATTATATTTTAACAACATTTGACTAGAAAAAATTGAAAAAGATGAACCAGAGTGATTCGTGTTATGACATCGGATTTAAGAAAACAAAGTGTAGTATATAGATTTTATTTAAGTAATAGCCATTTCCATAAGAATGGTTCCCTTCGTGATTCTTTGTATCGAAATATCGTACACAGAAAAAATATTACGGTTGTCACAACCAGAAATAATGTAATTTTTACCCATGAATACATTTGGTTGTGATAAGATGGACATATCTTAACAACCATAACCGTTAAGATATGCCAATTACGGTTATCACACAATCGTATTATAATTCTTATAACCCAAAAATGTATTGATGAGCGACTTTTGATCATGGCAACCGTAGTCGTTTTTTCCGTATATTTATATGTGCCAGGGAGAAAATCTAATATCTGAATGGTAATACATATTTACAATTCAATTAAGTCAATTTATGAGGAACTTTCGCGTTAAGTGATTATCTGACGTGCTGATAAGCAAATTAATCGATTGCGCATCTTGACACGGTTTCCGGTCGGTTCGCAATTAGTCCAGCAAAGGTGGCGGAAGAGGAGATGGAGGAGGAGAAGAAGGATGGGATGAGAAAGAGATGAGAAAATTACCGACATGGTACAGCCGTTAATCGAATCCTCTAGTAGAGCGTCCTGAATCAATCACGATGTATTACGTCGATCGTTCTAATCAAGCTGTGTTCTTCTATCTATTTCTTCCAGATGTTCGATGATATCATTTTTGCCTTCTTCTCCTTGGAGATGACCATAAAGATGGTAGCGATGGGGATTTACGGTAAAGGAACTTATCTCGCGGATTCCTGGAATAGATTAGATTTCTTTATAGTGGGGGCTGGGTAAGTATTTCATTTAGATACTTTATTGTTTTCTTAGAATTGCCTCGTTTAAAAGAATTTTTGTACAAAACTTTCGAGAATTTATATTGCACTATGATATAGCTAACAATATGGGAAATTAAAAACTTTTCAATATTAAATGTTATAAAAGTATTTTAAAAAATTGTAATAATTTTATAATATTTATAATAATTAACTGACATTCTATGATTATAAAACTTTATGTATTTTGTATTTAAACTATTGTCTAAAATGTATTATTACAATTTTTAATTAAACTCACATATTTAAATTTAAATTCAGGGCAATTAAATACATTTTATACGTAAATTATATTAAATATATTATTTAATTACAAAACATTCTACTGTCATAAATTATAAAATAGACGTGTTAAAAGAATTTAAAAAGCAACTTGGTTGTAGCGCTTTGGAATACTGCCTAAATGTGGAAAATATGAATCTGTCAGCCATACGAACGATAAGAGTATTAAGACCGTTACGAGCGATCAATCGAATACCAAGTAAGTAACGAGATCTTTGTGATATGTCAGATACCTCGATAGTTGACGATTAACCCCAGTTTCCATCGTCGATTTTACGGTGCATTGCCAGGTGCATAACCATCGCATATAGATCGTAATGCATTCACGGTTGATTTCATCTTGGAATTGAAACGTAACGAAGACAGAAGAGTATATATAATCATATCGAACAAGAACAAGTAAAGTTGGCAAGAAGAGACATTTAGCTGCAAATCGAAATTCAGTAAGCGACACGTGTACACGCGTACCGGAACTCGCGACCTTAATTTTAATAACAGATCCTTGGATCAATAAGTATATCTTGATCCATTTTCACACTGTCAAAATGTTTAAATCATAAGCCGTTGAAAAATTTTTACGCCAACTATTTTTGAGATTGAAAATTGAATAACAAAATTTTATCATAGTCTTCAACTTCCTTTCTCAGAATTTAAACGCTAATGACTGAAGTATCTAACGTTGGATCCTAATAAATTTCTACGAATAACGGTTGATTAAAAATCTCTTTTTTATAAATAGAATAAAATATTAATCAATGTGTTTACTATTAAAACTAAAATCGAGAATTTAGGTTATTCCGCTCACAGTATACTTTCAACTTATATTGTATAGAAAGAAAACAATCGGAATAGCATCAGATTGTTCCAGTATCCGAGGGAGAATATCCGCAAGCAGATGTTGTCATGGTTCAAAGAACTCGATAACGAAATATAATATTGACGAGACATTACACATTTATTAATCGCTTATCAAGCGTTATTTTCACAAACACCTCTGATAGGTATGCGGATACTGGTGATGCTGCTGCTCGACACCCTTCCCATGCTGGGCAACGTATTGTTATTGTGCTTCTTCGTCTTCTTCATATTCGGCATCGTGGGCGTGCAGCTGTGGGAAGGCATACTACGCCAACGCTGCTTCCTCAAGGCTCTGCCCAACGTCAAGTATCCCGAGTAAGTCGGCGAGAATTTTAGGTCCTAATCGTTGATTACTTTTTTTTTTTAATTGTAAATGTTGGACTTCGATTCTTCACGTTATTGCGCCTCACGCTGCATCGCATCTCGTTTTTTCTCTTCTGTCTGTCTTTCGATCGCTGTGCAGTATGAAGCGCTCCATCGCCAATCGTCACATTTCCGCGAGACGGCGAAACATGTGGAACTCAGATTCGGCAATTCGTCGTTAACCAGAAATTTTTCGCGATTTGAAGTACACATCGTGTACGATATCGTGTACTTCAAACACGGTAAACGGTAAAGCATATATCTCAGCGCAAAATGGCTCGATTTTAACAATTTCCATTTAAAATTTATCGTAAAAATAGCTAAATATGAATTTAGTCAAGATCATTATTTGCCATATTCAAAACACTTTCGCTTTTGTGTAAAAATTCTATTTTTGAAGCTTTTGCAATAACATACGTCGGAATACAGTAAACGTTATGGCCTTATATGTGAAACGTCTAGGAGGAATAATTTTTTACATATCATCATAATATTTCATGTATTTTAATATCTTTAGGCATATTTGCGTTTACCGTGTTCAAGGCATGCTATTGCATAAAAAAAGTCTATTACTGCGTGCGCAATTTTTTGCTCGACAATTTTTTGCTTAGATAGAATATTTCTATTTGACACGCCTGCAATTTGTTTCGTCGCCTAAGACGATGCAGATTTCTTCGGGATTTTTGTTATGGGACTTGCGTCTGCAAGTGGAATAGTCAAAGATTCGAGACCGTGGCGAATCAGCCACATACACGCGATTCGACATCGATTAAAACGACTTGGTCATACGGTTCGTTCACGCGGAGCCCAATTGTAATCTATGAAAATATCCAGATTGCATGGCGAGTAGCTCCAGTTGTCGCAAAGCATCGCTTGCCGAATTTTCTTGCTGTAAATTTAACGCTCCGCTCTTTTCTTCCTTCACTCTCTGTCTTTCGCCAATTCTTCACTGCGCTAATACTTTGCGCTCGATCCGCTTCTCCAAATCGATCGATATTTGCTCAGAATACAATGCAAACTTTGTAACTCATGCTCACTCCGCTCGGCTTATCACGAAACTACCCATAAAATCATCGTCTCAAACTTGAGATGGATGCAATCTAACGAAGGCGGATAATTAAATACTCTTATAAGTTTATTTATATAATATTCATTTGTCGCAAATAAGAAAATGTATCACGAATAATCTACACATCTTTTTTATACTTTTTTCTTATATTTTTTAAATGTTATTCTTTTTTTGCGGGAATATTTATTGCGAATATTTATGTAAAGTCTGATATATGCAATATCTATTTAAAAAACAGGAACATCTATAAAAAAAACAAGAACAATTTTAGTTTCTCTTAACAATATTTTTTTCATTATTATAACTTATTTGAAAATTTATTCGATTCGTTGAGAACCTATAAAAGAAGTTTTGACATAAAGGAAGATCTCCGTAAATGACGAATATAAAAATTACAAATTACTTTTCTAAAAAATGTTAATTTTTTTGTAACAGTATAAAAGAAAGCAATCTCTGCATTTCATTTTTTGCCACATGAATAATTTAATACGCGCAGCAATCATCAATCTTGCTCTATCGATCAAACGTGTAAAACCTTTTTCAAAGTAAAAATAATTTTAAAAGCGTGGCTTACTTACAGCGACTTTTCTGTCAAATAGATATCGATTTGAGATTGTTGATACGCTCTAGCTGAGAAAGATATCATCGGTGGTGTAAGGGATCATAAGAAATTCGTGAAAAGCCCTGGATGGATCAGTATGTTCTTTCCTGAATTTTTGCTTTACAGGAATATATCACGTTAGGCGATCTAAGACGCTCTCCTCCCTCATTCTCTTTCTTTCTCTCTTTTTTTTCTTTCTTTCTCCCTCTTCTGCTCCTCGTGACTAAAAAACCTAGACATGTAAGTACATGACCCCAGGGAGGCAGTGACAGGCTATTGTTTCGCTGTTGCAGGTTACTCTCGGACGAGTACTCGGTTCGATCACGCATTTAGTAAGCTCTAGTAGAGAACAATGTGCTGTACATACATATATATCTTTCTTTCTCTCTCTCTCTCTCTCTCTCTCTCTCAATAATACATACCTACTATATAAATCACAAAATATACACGTGGCATCCATATGTACATATATGTATATACATGCAACCATACGTGATGTGCATATGTATATAATATCTCTCTCTTACTCTCACTTCCTCTTTCTCTTGCTCTTTCTCTCTCGCTCTCTTTTTCTATCACTTCTATCTGTCCCTCTTTTATTTCTTCTCTCTTAACCACTGTACCAGTGTGCGACTGTATCGTAGTGTGTACTCACATAGAGCATGTCGACTCGACCGACGACGAATAAAACGCTATTTCGTATATTGGCTGCCGATCGAGGAGACGATGATTCCGAGATCCCCGAGAGCGAGAGAAGAGATCAACCCTCCTAAACTTCGAGATAGCATTTTAGTGTTACGGGTTACTACACCGTCTCTACACACTTAACCGTTCTAGCACCGAAGTTCTCTCCTTGATACACAAGTTGTACATAAATCGCGTGGTTCGAAAAGCGGGGATATGCCAATGATGGAGGAGGGATCCGTAATTTGTGGGCGACCCAGAAACTCCATGTTTCTCCACGAGATTGCTGTACTCCGACACTTCGGGATCTCTTCGGCTACTTCGATGCACGAGTCGATGTTATTCTCCCTCTTCTTTGCTCTAGACATACTTCTTTCGTGATTCTCATGCGCCTCTCTTATTTTCACTATCACTATCCCCTTCACTCTCTGCCTCTTTCTTTTATCCTCCCTCAGCGTGTGTTTAGTCGATAAGCATTAACGATGCTTTCTGCATATGTGAATTATCGTTTAAGCAACTATGTGTGGCATCGGTGATCTCTGTGGTTTCACTACATCGCACCGCTTTCACGATAGCGTATCCTTCCATTACGTCCCAGAGGATCCCGAATTTCACGATCCATATATAAAATAGAGTTTTTTGTCCATGGATTTGAAATTGACGTTTCCTTGAAATGAGAAGTTTCTTGTCTCTAATTCTTTTAAAGTTCAAGGGATTGAAACTTTGACATTTTAAGGAAGGATTCGACGCTTCCCCGAAGACCTCATTATGTAGGACATGGATGCGGCACTCTCATATCAGAGGCACTCTGGGTATCAATGACGTTGCTGTTAATGACTGTAAAACGAGCCGAACTCTAGACTTTCACATCCGCATGTCTCATGGGACGTTCTGTTACGGTTCGGGTACGATTATAACGTGTTTAAGGAACAAGAAACTTCGTCGCACATTTTAAGATTTGCCACCCTAGATGAATACTTGCGCACCCGGATGCATAGTGCCCCGAAGTCGCTTTAATTCTGAACTCGTGTGGCGCGATAGTGCAGCAGGAAAGAGAAGTAGACTCCATGAAGCTTCAAGCCCACAGAGAAGCTAATTAAACGCGCGATGCTCGCGCGGTCTATTCCGGTATACGCAGCAGTTATTTTCGAACGTTTATCGACTTCTGCACCGGCGTTACTGCCGTTCCTGCGCCGTGCAGCTGTAGCGCAGCGCTGGAGCTTCGCGGATAGCGATGGCCCTGGAAAGCGATATTAACTCATAATTTTTCAAACACGCAAGCCAAGTGAAAAGGCATTAACGTATATCTCACGATTACGGACGGTATCAGAATTTGAACCAATATCAAAAGCAATAACGTCAGATTTATTTGCAACAATGTTTATTTAAAGTAACACATTCTTATAATTTAAAAGAAAACAGATATGTATGCGATTGAAAATTTTATCTCTTAGAAAATTTTATTTTTATTATGTATCCGTTTGCTTTACTGGAAAGCATCGAGGTGTCATCGCTATTTGCATAGAGCTCGCTGCTAAAATGCGCTCACGGATGTACAAGGGGACCAGATTTTGTAATCACGATCTCGTAATTAGTTAATCTCTTTTACTTTGAGAAAAGCATTATAATGATAAACAGACTAGAGTCTATTTCTATGAATATAGATTAACCTTAATCTTGCTTAATTAATTTAATTTATTCTTTATCTTTTTCTAATTCATAAAATCAGAGAGAAGAAGATAAACAGTAAGTTAAACTAAAAAATTAATTGTTTTTCTTTGGGCAATATATTTTCACGAAGCTTTAGACTCCTCTTTGAAATCATATTTTCCTGTCATTTCCAAGTTAAATTGATTTTGCATCAAGGTACAGGCACAAATAGGAAAAGTTTATTGTAATTTATTATGGGGTTAATATATTGTGTTCAAAAGTAGGACATCTAGTCACCTTATAAATATATAACATATGAGAGGATCTAGAACGATGGGCACGATCAGCACAGCGCGAGCACAAACGTGAAGCACACGCCTATGACGCGTTAAAGACACGCAAATTAAGGAGAGCACAGGCGATCACGTGCACACTGCTAGTTAAGCATACATAGCGTGTGTTTGGAAACGTGAAATTGTGTCGCATTATTTTAGCAAATATAACGCCACATAATATGCAATATTCCTTTATCGCTCTATTTTTTTTCCTGTTCAGTCAATGAATTTTATTATGATATTATAATAAATAACAAGAAATATGAAATTTCACCATAACTCCGTTATAAGAAAATACCAGTGTAAAGAGAGATAAAGTACGAAGTAAGATCAATCATCTGATTTAAACGGGATTATCAATCACGAGAACGTCTGAGAATCCAGAATAAAAGACGCCATATTGCGATAGAGGAATATAATCGAGCTTGGAGAAAGATGGCACCAGTACCCTCCGATCCTAAAGAGCGTAGCATAAAATTATGAATTATCCATCAGACTCGAGACGTCACATGTTTGCCCATATTTTACTTTAATATATTCAGGATTACATAAACGTATTATTCTGCACATGAGAGAAAGAACGTCAGTTGTATTTTCTAATTCTTTATATTTTTTAATAATAATAATAATATCAAATAATTACTTATTATATTAAATAACATTTAATTCGCGATTGTCTTTCAAATATCAAGCTCGATATCCTTCGAATTTTTGGAAGAGTAAGGTTTTATTTACATGGCTCGACAACGGCGAAACTTTCAATCTTTGAAGCTAGAAACGGCCATTCATTTTCGGCATCCATGGCCGATACTTCGCGAGGAACGTGTTAATTGTTTTTCTTTTCGCACTAGCCGACTATTTTCGGCGTGATACCAGCCGCGTGCACGCAAACTCGTGTCGGTATACGTATATCTGCATTTGCCTACATTTTTCTCAATCGTTGCGCACGTACGTTGTACATCAGCATCTACATACGTGTACGTATACTGTACTATATAAGATGTCCGAGAATCATCGGACGAGCTGTCGACCAGTGATACAAACAGGGTCGAAAGTGTAAGCATGACAAGGCCGATAGGAAGCGCGCCCGATTTTCCGAACAATATACGCTTTATTCGAAGCAATCTCGGTACGAATGCCGCGTTAAGCACATATCGATCAGTTTTGCGAATCAGTGCTACAGCCGCGTTACGCTGATAATTTGCGTGGCATAGGTTGTTTATGATTAGCCTTCATTCGTGTGCATATACATTCTTCGGAATCTATAGCACGGGACTCCACTCCGATCGATTGTATTTCCATTATTTTCGGTTAGGTTTCCAGTATTCATATACAAAAAACCACACTGGGAGCTCCTCCGGTAATTCCGCGACACTCTAAATATTATATATACTATGAATATATGAATATATACATAGAACGAATTTACGCTATACCATCATCTGAAATAGCTTCTTATATCCCATAAATTGCAATTCTTTCTTTGGAGGAAATGTGTGCTTTCTTGTATTAAAATTGAAAATTATTTAAAATTGTGTTGCCGTCGCATTTATTTTTTATCCCCGGCAAAGTCGCCTTGATTTTTTTAAATAATACAAGGTTCATCTTTGCTTGAATTATTCCTTTTAATTATTTTTTTCAAGTCAGTGCGTAAAAAGTTATTTTAGACGATAGTTTCTAGTGACTCGTTCTGTGTATATACGTTTACGCTATATATATATATATATACTATATATTATAACACGCTCTGCATACCTACTTACAATGTACGCATAAGCGAAGCATGCGAAGAGTGCATCCGTGCATAATAAGGCATATGTATGCAAGTCTTTAAACTTAAGATTCTACGCGAGGATCGGTGTGATTAAATTTTTAATCGTCGCTCTGTTGATTTTCCAGCGATCTGGAGAAGTATTTCGAATCTCAGGGTCAGGATTACATTTGTTCGCGTCCCGACGACAGCGGGATGCACTCCTGCAGTAATCTGCCGCCTCTCAAATTCGGTGAGTACATCCTCCATCAACAAATTTCAAATGAATTTGCAAAATATAATTTAATGAAATACTATACATACGTAATTAAATTTAAATCTCTAACAATCGCGTAGAATTAAATTAGAATTGCTTTATACAGAATACTGCAGAAATCTAAAATTCAAAAACATTTTATAAATATTTTTAAACTTTGATGAGAAATATTGTAGTCAAATATTGAAGTCAAATTTTCGTTATTCTGAATTTATAACCGAGCAACTTTATTGTTCAATATTCCGAATTTATCGCGTTATACTCATTCACGTTGTACATATTCGGGTAATTGATTGCTTCATCATCATAATCGAACGCAACGACATTTTTCGCATTCAGGCAACTTGGTGTGCAACAATACCGCTGTGCCAAACAGTAACGTCACGTACATCAACAATGATACCTGCGTTAATTGGAACTACTACTACACCGAATGCAAAGGCCAGGGCAACAATCCATTCCAAGGAACAATTTCATTCGATAACATCGGTCTCGCCTGGGTTGCGATATTTCTTGTGAGCGCTTTAGTTACTCGTCCTACATTTGTTCAGAATAATTTACGTAAGCATGTATACATGTTACTCGAACATGTATACGTGGCACGGAATATTTCTCCCATTTAAAAGTATGTAAAATACTTTTACGGCGCCCGAAAGTCGATGGAAATGCGGATCGCGCACATTAGTCTGCGATAGTGCCAAGAGAAAAACTACGCTATCGATGATATTGCGGACGAATTGGTTTTCGATAAGATGTTATTGCAAATGAATAATGTGCTAGTTGAAAAATTTCACATTTTGATATGATAAAAATATATGAGTATGTAGCTTCATTTGCTACGTATTTCCTTTTAACGTGTTTGTAGCATGATTTTTCTGAAATAAGTTTTCCCTAATTTTTAACAAAAATTTAACCGTAATATTTTTACGTCGCAATTTACATTAATTGATTAATAAACTAAGTTCGTCATATCGTTTGTCGCTATTTTGCCGTAAAGCTCAGTAGCGCAATCATGTCGATTTGTAGGTTATTAGTCTGGAAGGATGGACGGACATAATGTATTACGTGCAAGACGCCCACTCCTTCTGGGACTGGATATATTTCGTTCTCCTGATAGTAGTAAGTGTTTCATTTCCTATCCCAATTGCACGGCGAGCGTAATATGTAAAACATGAGTATAGACGCTCTCTATTTTTCACATTCGTATTTTCCACGGTCTTACTTCGCTCATATTTAACAGAAATTCAGCCGTAACATTTTAATATCTTAGCTTCTTCAAGACAAATCACTTCTACCCCAAATAACACCTATTGGTTGATATACGTTTTATACACGTTTCCTAAATGTATCTAATATTCTATAAACGTTCAAAAAACGTATATAAAACAACCAACATGCTACTTGGAATAATTCAAATAATAATAATAATAATAGTCATTATCATTAATAGTCACAACGATCAACTGGTATTAGAATAAAATTGTAATATAATCCAGAAGATAGCAATAATAATTACAATATAAATATAAAACAAACGCGAGGTATATTATGAAAAAATTAAAGAGAGAGAGGCATGGATTAAAGAGGACCTGTGTTTGCAGATCGGTTCGTTCTTCATGATCAACCTCTGCTTGGTCGTAATCGCGACGCAATTTTCGGAAACGAAGAAGCGGGAAATGGAGAGAATGCGACTGGAGCGCGCGCGTTACCATTCGACCTCGACGCTCGCCTCATCCACGAATACCTCGGAGCCTACTACTTGTTACGCCGAAATCGTCAAGTGGGTACTCGTAACCGTTGCACAGTCCCCGAGGATGCTATTCGCGCGAGCAGAATCGTTCCTCGTCGCTTACTCCGCGGAAGATTCGCCGGCGCCCATGTTTTACGATAGATGACAATTTGATGTCTCTTTTTAGATACATCGCCCATCTCTGGCGACGAGGTAAACGAAGACTGATGAAGAGATATCGCCTGTGGCTATACAGGAGGCAGCAGAAACGGGAACAGAATTTACTCAAAGAGCAGCAGAGTCAAACGTCTCGTTCGAACACCGCTGCTGTCGGGCCAAATCGCGTACCGGGCGGTAAACAATATGAAATTTAAAAAATTATTTTGGAAATTTAAAAAATCGAATATTGAAAAAGAAAGAAATTAACTCTGGAACCGTCGATTATACCAGTTTAGCTTCATTAATGGTTTCAATTTTTTTTGTATAAGGTATATAGTACAAAATATTGAAAAAGTATAAATATAAATATATATATAGATACAAATAATATCAAAATAATTCTTTATTAATTAAAAATAAAAATAAAAAATCACCAAATTGATACCTTCGGCAATTTTAGCGGGATATCATCAGCGGTTATTATTAAATATGATGGAAATGGAAGTCTTAAAATTTCTACGACGCTAATATTAACCTCGATTCGGACCCTCAAAAATTATCGCTTTTTATACTATATTAAACTTATTTTAATAAATCTTTTTTAATTCTTAATATAAATGTTTTTATTCTTTAATATACTTACCTATAGAAATTTGAATTGTACTTAAAAAATGCAAATTTTATTAAAAATTTTTATTAAATATTATTTTTAACTCATCATCATTAAATTTTAAAATTGCATTATATAATAATCAATATTAAACGTAATAATTAATATTAAAATCTATAACTCTTAACTAATCTCTATAGCAATTTTTTAAATATTATTTTAATCAATTTATAACTTTCTCTCTCTCTCTCTCTCTCTCTCTTATTTTAATCTATAATTTTTCTAATATAACTATTTTTCTTCTTTAATATTTATCAGTAGAAATTTACATTGTAATTCACAAATTTTATTAAAAATTTCTATTAAACACTATTTTTAAAAAGTGACTTTGATATTATTGTTATTATTAAAAATGCATTCCAATATTTAGATAGAAGACTACATCACGGGAGGTGTCCGCGGCTTCTCGCCGCGCTAGAATATGCAGAGCAACAGCAACACCAGCAGCAACAGGCTACCAGTGGAAACGGTGGATCTATCGCCGATTTCGCCACGATCGCATCCCCGACGCAATCGGCGGTGGCAATTGCCGCCCCCACAGCCCCGACTATCGGCAATAGCGTCGGTGGTAGTGGAAACCTGGGCACCGCGCCTCGAGCTAGCCCCGAGCTTTCCGAGGCCGAGGCTTCCGCGAATGTATGTCACAGATTAAGCATTCACCGCACCTCGTCCGTGTCCTGTAATGGAAGCGACAACGCTGTCGTGGGAAACGTTGCTGAGGCAAGTACAGATATCGCACAGATTTGCATGCGAGAACACGACACGAAATTTTTCGTTAAACAGGAACGGCGCAATTGAAGTTCGGTAAATGAAATATCGAAAAATGATTTTCCAATAATATATATAACGTTTAAATAATTAATTAATTAATTAAAATAAAGTAAGATAAATATAACGAAACGATAGGAGTAATAATTTTATTATTGAATTGGAGATTCATAACATGTTATTTCGTTTCTCCGATAGTTTCATATATGCCGCTTGAGCTTTTCGCTCTCTAGAAATATTACACTCGACTTTGATCTTAGTAAGCAAGCAAGTGTAAGCAAGCAAGAACGTCTTTGAATGATTCGTTTAGCGCTCTTTCCGTTAAGCTATTCTCTTCGCTGACATTTATCTTCCGCTTTATATCGATAGTAGTGTACTCATAGTGATTATACATGCTTTTCACATGTAGAAGAACGTTAGAGTTTCATTATGTTTCGTCGAGTTTCTCATCGACGATAGAGAGAACGTTTGCACAACAAAGAGATTTTAAGCTTTAGGTACGGCAAGATAAAGTGCATAAAGTTTCTTCCCTTAATGCTACAAGTTTGGGCCGAGAACAGTTATGAGAGAGAGAGCGCCTGCTGTAGTGTGTAACGTATGCGTAATGTATGCTTGATTATCGCCTTCTAGACGAACAGCACGTTGTTGAGTCCACCATGTACGCATTATCGGAGAAGAAGCAGCGTAATGTTTAGCGACGTGGTACTGCTCCATGGCAGCAATAATGTCGGGAATGCGTTGCAGCCGGGGTTGACGGTGACACCGGGCGAACGTAACGTCTGCTTGAGCGAGAAGATGACACAGACGGGCGATGGTAACGTTTGGTCCAGTCCATTGCCGGACCACGCGCAGGTAATTTCCAATTACCATGGTTATTCCGGAAATTGTGGAGATCTTTTCCTCTCTTAAATAAGGCATACTGTCACAGATGCAAGCCGAACTGGGTGGCAACGAAGCTATGACGTGTCAGGAATTGTTGGCTCTCAGTGGTGCTCTCAGTGCTGCTCTGCCAACTGGCCAACTAGCGCTCGATTCGTTTCTAAATTCTCTCACGAAAGGCAAGTCAATGTGACGTATGACAAACACGGTTTGTCATAAAATTGAAGTACATGAATTATTATATTTATTATTATACGGACTCTTAACTAAAAATCTAAACTAAAAAATTTCAAACATCTTTTAAATTAATTTATAACTTGTCATTACGTCTGACTTTCAGAAATATTAAAATAAAAGCCACCAAATTTTTTTTAATAAAAATATTACATTTTTAAAAAACATTCTAAATTTTGATAAAAAAAATAAATTTGAATGCTTTTGAACATCTATTCCATTTAAGTTTGAAAAATATTCACAAAGAGTTAAAAGAATTCGTACCTAATCAAGTCGAAAAAAAGAAGAAAACGAGTTAATGTGTTCCATAGGTATAACAGATCGTCACATCACATTGGAAGATCGCACGCAGTGGTTAACGTCCGACGTTGACAATTGTTCCTGTTGCTGCGAGCTACAGGGAGGTGATCAGTGGCCGGAAGACGGCGAGAAGTGGCAAAAAAAGTCCTCGCGGCCTAGACAGCTTCTGAGACGCGCCATTAGCTGCTGTATCTACACATTGCGCTGTATAAGAAGGTGGATCAAGAAGCTGGTCGAGCACAAATACTTCCAACAGGGTATTCTATTGGCGATCCTCATCAATACTTTGAGTATGGGAATCGAATATCACAATCAGGTAATTTCTCACTGGAACTTGAAATTACTTCGGTGTCATTTCTTTTTAGATCTTTTTAGCACTACTTTGTGTTTTCTTATTAACATATTCCATTACAAGTTTGGCGATACTTTCTACTTTGCATATAAAAAACAAAAGTTGTGTAACATTATTACACAGAAAGAATGATTTTGCTGAAATATCTAAAAATTTAACTAGATACAAATTTGAAAATAATTTTTGTTAGACTATCAGAATAATTATATAAGAAACTCAAACATGATACGCAATGCTGCAAAAAAGTTTTATATTTTAGTTTGAGTGTCCTACATAATTCCTGCATAATTATTTTGATAGTTCAACGAAATTATTTTCTGATCTGGTATGTAGTAAAATTTTTAGATACTTCAGCAAAATCGTTCTTTTCGTATCCATTCTCGATATAACGCAATTAAAATGAAGATAATATCTGTAAAGTGTAATTACTAATTATGATTATATTACTAATTATGTTATGTTATGTGTACTCAGCCAGAACAGTTAACAGTGGCCGTTGAGATAAGCAACATTGTATTCTCGGCAATCTTCGCGGTGGAAATGTTGCTTAAGATAATAGCGGAAGGTCCATTCGGTTATATCAGTAATGGCTTCAACGTTTTCGACGGCATCGTCGTCGTCCTGAGGTATGGCAACTTTCTTCGTAAATTTTGGTATTATAATACAAAAAAATAATAGCCTTTGTGTGTATAAACAATAATATTAAATAGCTCACGTATACATTATTGCTGTGTAAAATGTGTAAGCACACACACGATTGTCAGCGCAATTCCTTCAACTTTATAGTCACATTCCGACTTTACGAGAAAGTCATAACAGACGGTGGTAGATCGTTTGATTCGTTATGGCTGTCTCGTAAAGCTGTTCGAGAACGGATCGTCTACAATAAACTGACAAACGATAACACTATTGCACTCCTTGCAACGCGTTTACAGCGTCGTCGAGCTCTGCCAATCAGTCGTAGAGGAGCGTGGCGGCAGTTCCGGTCTGAGTGTCCTGCGCACCTTCCGCCTCCTCAGGATCCTGAAGCTAGTGCGATTTCTGCCCAATCTACGACGTCAGCTTTTCGTGATGCTGCGCACCATGGATAACGTTGCCGTATTCTTTTCTCTTTTAGTACTTTTCATCTTTATATTCAGGTAAGTCGCCGTCCTATCTTCGTCCGCGTCAGCGACACTGCCGCGGAATTACGGGCCTCTCGGGCCCACGTCGCCGGATCTTCTCTCCGTTTCCGCTTCTTTGTTTCTTTTCTCTTTTTTTTCTTGCGTGTGTCCCATTTCGCGAATCGGTACCATCGCCGATGAGTAATTCAATGAGTTCAACCGCGAGGAAACCGCCTGACTCAACCTGCGCGTCGCGTTTACTCGGATTATGGGGCGCTGTCGCGTCTTCCTGTTCTAATTATCATCTCATCAGCCTAGTAACGTTTGCATGTCTGGCAAGGCGGATCGAAGTTACGAAACTGCCGATAGGTATTGTTAAACAAATTGAGCAAGAGCTTAGAAATATGAAGCGTCGATGACGATGACATTAGCCATTAATCCCATAAATCATGTGGGAGGCTTACGGGAACATCATGAAAAAGTTCAATGGGTTTTATAGATTTTATTATAACATATTCATATCACTCTCGGTAATAGTAGCGATAAAAGTTATGTTTAATAATCAAATTTTATTCGGTAGCTTTATGAATACATATCAAAGTATAATATATCAGTTTTTATCCATAAAAAATTATTTTTAGATTAAAACGTCTTTTTTAAAGACTGGTCCTCGCTCTCTAAATTCTTTGGAATAAATCTTACTCCAAAAAAAGAAGAAACCAATATATCAAGATGATCAAATTTAATAAAAATAAACCTTAACTCTTAAAAAAATAAGAGTGATAATAATATAAGAATCTTAAATAGTTTTTTCACAGATATTATTTTGATTTGAAATACTACATATATTTGAAAATATACGTATATAATAATTATAATCCTTTAAATTAAAAAAGAAGCTTTTTAACTTCCATCTTTCTTCCTCTTCTTTTATTAATTATTCATTCAACATCATTTTAAATTTAATTATATTTATTTGATAAAAATGACGCTGATAATAATGTCGTCGACGCTTGATATTTCGAAAACAGCTTCTTGCTCGCTTCTACGAGCTTTCGAGCTTCAGGAGCAAATCGCGCGCCGCTGCTCTTCGAGCCGAGGCCTACATTAGGTGACTTTCTTTCCGTTCATACCTTTCTCTTCTACTTTATTCGCTTTTACTTTGTTTCTGCGCGGTGTATAAGCCGCCATCAGTTATGCATATCACATATATATATATATAGAAGTTCTCAAGCAGTTTTACCAGCAGTTGTCCCGTGTTCTCGCGTCTCCTAGCGTTTCTTTGAGCGGCATATTTTCTGACGTTGTTAATGGTAATGACGATGGTATTTGTTGGCACGATCTATTACAAGGGGGAAGCCGGTCTGCTGCCGATTCCTCCTTTATAGCTTGAGGCATCGAACGTATTTTCGACGTTTATCTAGAAGATATATCTATATATAAATATATATATACGTATATGGAATATATATTTACATGTGTGTGCATGTGATGCTTTTCTGCTGGACGTCTTAGCGACGAGTATGAAAGGCTATATGTATATATATATATTTACTATCATCATATTCTTGATTTATAATCATATATACACTTGATTCTCTCCCGCTATCGTTCTTTCTTGCTACTCTGAGCGCCTATATTAAGTGCGTGCGCCTCGGTGTGGCCCTCGATATTAGAACAGCTTGCGAATGTTCGACATATATCCCCGCTCTGCAGTATTACATATATATACATATATATATCTCGTCATGCTGCGTAGGACCTCCCACTATATACATCCGTGCGTTTTACGACGAGTTTTACGACCGTTCGATAGCCGATTTGCCGTTCACCGCAGCCGCAGCCCTCACTATTGCGATCTCGATACTGCAACTGATTGTCCGATATCTGCCGCAGACACGTAGACGCAAACATTGAAAATTTCGCTGTACTTGAATAACTTTAACAATTAATTAAACGTTTAAAATATTTAAAAGTAAAAAAAGAGAAATTTTATCATTATTGAATGTATATCATCAATAATTTTATTAAAATACCTAAAAATTTGATTTTTTTAATAGTCTTGATAACAAAAGTAGCCTTAAGCATTTCTTAGATTAAAATAAAATTAATATTTTAAAAGTTAATATTTTGTTTTATGTAAAGTAAAATGAAAAACTAATACTTTGATGTGTAAAATTGTAAATTTACAAGTAGATTTTTTTCGAGGAATTGCGAAGAAGAAAAAAACAGGGAAAAACATTTGGCAACATCGCGCATTTGACGCAAGTCCGCAAATGCGGTGATCTTTTTTGTTCGAAACTCTCTCTTGAACATAAAGTGAACCTTCCAGAAGTGAATATAAAGTCGTACGAAACTATGCAAATGCTTGCGGGTACGCCTCTGCGCGCCGATCCGTAGACATTTTCTTCGACGGCCATCTCTAGGTGTTTGCATCCTTCTTTAGTCGCAAGCCGCGAATGAAGTTCCGACAGATCCGCTTTAGAGGAATTTTTCCTTCTTTGATCGGCCGGCGTACGCTAAATAACGAAGTACTCTCGATGTACTTGCATCGTGATCACAAGCAAGCTCCCCGATTTACTCGGCCAAAGTTTCAGATTACGATGAACGACAAAAGTTCACGTTAAAATCGATTTGAGCTTTCTCAAGCGCTTCTAAAAACCGGTATTGTCATCCTACACATTTCCTTTTATAGGATACATCGTGTTTACAAACGGACATTATACTTTACAACGTAAAGATCGTGAAAGAATGTCACTCAATCGATTCTGCACTTTCGTCGTATTACGAGACACATGATATATACGAAATGTCATAAAACTATCGGATGTTCATTCAACCATAGATAAATTCAACATTGAATTGTTATTTTTAAGGCGAGGTTTCTGCGAATTATTTGTGATTCTATATAATTAAATAAACTTTACTTAAATAGATTTCTAATTTAATATTTCTTCTTTTTCTTTCTCTTCCAAGATAATTTAAAGTTAAGTGTTTGTGACATTCTCCTTTTGTAATCGAATTTATAGTTGAAAAAATATCCGATGGTTTTAGAACTCTTTGTATATACATATTTTGAACTAATCGGTTACTTGGCCGAGTCATGCTTTATAATCGCGATTCTGTCTTAACCGAGCTTTATTCCCCCCTCTCTTTCTGTTTATTCTCTCTCTATCTCTTTATCAGATATTTTTTTTGTCATTTTATCTCAGTCTACGTATATATATATACATATATATATATGGATAAGGAAGTACATTGCACGTTTCGTTGTGTTGTAGTATTCTCGGGATGAACCTGTTTGGTTGCAAATTCTGTGAAACGATGAAAGGCAGCTCTGACGTCGAGTGTGATAGGAAAAACTTTGACTCGTTACTCTGGGCTATTGTGACGGTGTTTCAGGTACCTACCAAAAAAAAAAGAAAGAAAAAAGGATACTTTTTCACGTATCTTCTCGAGGGCATTTTTGATTTCTCTATATAGTGTATATTACTTATATATATTTATTCGTGCATATATATTAACGTTATACTACACCGCATCTACATATATATATATATACGCTAAGTATACATACGTACTATCACGTTTTGGTTTTCCGACAAGTTAAAGTCGTGCGATCTCTCGCAACGTGCGTCCGCCTGCACTTTATATGATTTCTGAGGCCTCAGGTAACGTATACTGGGAGATAAGCGCTTTCCAGCATGTCGTCGTCATTTCTTCGACAGGGGGGGAAGGGGGGTAAGGCAGGAGGAGGCTACCGGTACCGACTTTAGAAGTAATAAAAACTTTGATAAAGTATGCTTAACGAAGTATTATATGAGGTTTTTTTTACAAGGGAGATCATTCTTCGATATCATATTTTCTGCGACGAGTACGTTGAGGAAGAGGAGAAAATGCCTGCCTAGAGCCGGTACTGGGGGCTTAGAGACGGGGCACGTGGATTATACGAAGTGGATTATCAAACGTTGCATACGATTGCCGGTGATAATCCCGGTGCTTCTTCATATCACGTTTATCCGTCACTTTATAAGCACAATATACGCGTGCGTTAATACGCTGCCTCCTGCCGCGTCTTCTGTGAGCGCGTCGAGCTGGCTCCCTTCTGGCATGCCTTCGCATGCATCTGTTCTCTGTGTGTCGCAATGACGAGCGAAATTACCTACAGCTTACAAATATTTCGAGATAATAATTATCAGAATTATCAATTACAATTTTGAGCACGTAATAAAAAAAAATGAAAAAGTGATATGATTTGTAACAATGTCACGTAAGATTGGATCTATTGATGAATTAATGCAATCGAATGTGCTCTGAGAAAACTTAAGATTTTCGTAAGAGTGCAAGCACTTTCGCTCAGACATCGAGAAAACTGCTTAGATGCTTCGCATACTTATTCGCTTATCCCTGTGTCGATGATGTTGACGTTACTTTTATATTCATGTTATATTGATGTTGTCAGAATAGATGATTTAGTTATAATGCTAATTGCGCCACTGGAATCTTTAACAATATAGGAAACCGAAGTAGTGTGTAGAAATATTCGCCGATAGAGTCTCAAAGCGATTGAACGATGGAAAACATCACGTCAATCCTTTCCATACGTTCTCATGGCAATGGATAATAAACATCCATTATGCGCGTCCAAACGAGGAGCAACAACGCAAATAATGCAAACGTTTAAATACGAGTGCAATGGGAACAGTATAGGTCTATTTTCTGTAGCTGAACTAGTGTACACTTTTGGAGTATAGACCGCTATTCATAGCGGTTCTTATTTTAAGATTGTCTTAAGTAATGCCTTAAGATGCTAATATGGTTCTGTGATTGACTTATGACATCTTAAGACTGTACTTAAGATTGTCTTAAATCTAAGTGAGATAGATGTTTGATTTTTAGTGAAAACGAGAAAAAAGTTTAGTGTAGAAATAAAAAAACAGACCTAAAGGATGTTCAAAATACACGATAAAATCATCCAGATAACAAGTCGATGTTTTCTGGACGTGCTCAGAATATTTGTGTTGTTTGGCAGCCACCCTAGAATCGCCCGGACAGGCCATATCCTGCCCAAATGATGCGATAAAATAACCACTCTAGGATTACATGGCGATCCCAGGGTTGGCTCTTTGTCCTGGCCTGGACTGCCAATATATCGATGAAAATGAGACTCTTGCCCCGGTTTTATATCGGTACAACGCGCGCGTTGCGCAAATTGCTTTGCATGCGATGTGTCTCTTTGGGCATTTGGTCGGCATTGTCGTTGCTGTTGCCGTTGTCTTTTTGTACCGCGCGTATATATCACACCTCGTTGCACATCACGTCTTCTTACGAAGACCGACATTCATGTACCTCACTACAGAACTTCTACCAGTTACACTGCTAAAAAGAAGCGTCGCAACCAGCGGCGACCGATCTCTCGCACGTCGGTTCTTGTGACATCGCGGCGACATCGATGAGTAGCGCGAATCGTGTTCTTGGATTTTCTGCGAAATTAGAAGCGAAATCACGCCGAGAGCCAACTTGCGTCTCGGCGTTCATGCATCTTCACACACTTCACCTACGATAATTACTCACTTTAAACGTACGTAAAACGATGCCACGATATCACGTCACACATTTTTAACAGTGTAGCACAATATAAACTGTTCTCTGTCACACGCTTATATATTTCTCTCTGTGTCTTCCCTGTACTTCTCACTATACTTCACTATGTACTTCTCACTATACTTCACCTCACCACTTACGACATTACACTCGTCTTCGTACTATCCTACCTCTATCTTTCTCTCTTCTTCTTTTCTTACTCGTTCTATCCGTAACTTTTCTGTCACTTTCTCTCTAAAACGCCCACGACGACTCGAGCGCAAAAAGAACTTCGTCCCGTGTTGTACAATGCGTGCGTGAAATATCGACTCGACCCGACAGGAGAATCGTCGCGTCAGAAAGTCCCTCATAATTGAACACTCGAGGACCTGAGATGGGACCTCGTGTCCATCGTACACGAATAACACGAACAAAGCGCGTTTCTACCTTCGATATAATGTACCAATGTATAAGCTAAAAGGCTCAACACGTAGATTTCGGAGAAGCCCGAATAACTAAACAGCTTTTATCCTCGTTTATTATTATGTTACCGCACGTATCTGCATCTATTTAAAAGTAAATATTCATTTAAAATTGTTATTACATATTTTCTTACTAAATAATATGTATATACTTTGAAAAAGAATGCTTTTTAGAAGTTGGATCAGATTTGATCCAGCTTTGGTAGCCTAAGTTATCAGGTTATTACGGTAGTCCGAAGGACTACCAACTAGTGTTTTCTAGTTGTAGTGGAGAGAGAGAGAGACAATTTCTTTTTACTTAATTTTAGAAATACGAGCCAGGTAAATATATTATATAGATCGCGCAAGGCACGTAATATCGTATTAACATCAGTGCAGTCTCGGTAGATTCGTGCGTACCTTTTGTAAATACTCGCTGAGACAGATTTTTCCGTACTACATATTACACCGTATTTGCGTATTAGAGGATTATATATTTACGCTTGTGGCAATTATCCCTTTTTCCCCCTCTCTCGCAAAACGTTCGCCGTGACATTCTGCAACGGCAGGTGCCTTGTTTTCTCCACTATTCTCTTCTCTTCGCGACCGCGCGTTCCCGGGAGCTCTCTTTCCGCCCCGTTTATTTTCACGCCAGTTTACATCCGTAAAGTGTGTGCGGATTTCTGTCGACGTTGATTTAAAGCTCTCGTCATGTTTGCCCACGTTCGGCGCCCCCGACTTTGCTTCAACGTCAACGAAACGAAATTCGCAAGAAAAATCAGCCGACGTAACACAACTGACAGGCTTGACAGATAATACTTTTGCGGACGCGTCCGAATAAATGTTTGTTATGACTTTCGCGGACCGGACGTCACGTCGCGTTAGAGTCAATTATTGTTCCAATGTGAGTCCTAAAATTAGCATTATTGATTGCCCGCGTGAAACATTAAACAATTAATACGCTTGTATGACGCATTACGTCGAGAGATTATATGGTATATGCGAACTTTATATGAAATGTTCGATTTACACTTACGTTTGACATCTCTTTGGGTAATTTCAGGGAGAATTAAGTGTACTTTAATGAGAAGAAATTTTATAGTTGTTCTTTGAGTAAAAAGTAACTAATTTTTTTTTAAATTTTGGTTCTTGTTCCTTGTTCCGTCCCGTCGAATGAACCGTTACAACCGCACACAGTCGATACGATCCGCCCACAATCCATAAATGTATACCTACTTTACACGCATTCGCCTGTATTGTTGCAAATATACAAAATACATTTATTTATATATATATATACTAACACGCCGAACTTGCAGAATGTGACTGTACGAGCTTCGAGTGACAGTCGTTTTCGCTGTTTTGTCCAACACATTTGCTTAATTCCTTATCGATACGCAGTGCCTCCGTTCTCCAAAAATCGAATCTGTTAAAATTAACTTTATTAAAATTAACTTTATATGTAAATCAATTTAGAAACAACTTGATGCAAGAAAAAAGTTTAAGAATTACTTAAATATTCTTCAAATTACAATCATTAAATTGTAAATTTTGTAATTTGAGAGAAAACACATTTTTGTGTGATAGTTTTAGTTGTTTGATTTATTAATTCGATATATGTGTAATTATTTGATTCAATATTACTTAAAAATTTTTATGCTATGATTTAACACGATCAGATATAAAAGCATTAAAGATGGATATTTATATCTGTAATATATATGTATTGGCACGATGAATGGAAAAATCGAAAAAATCTCCTATCGCACACACATACACACGTACACAATATATAAGAGTTAAAAATAGACGTTTCTCTTTGTGAAAATATTTTTAAAATATGAGCTTTAAACCTAGATTGTTACTTTGAGCACTTAAGCACAAAAATAACGAACCACAGATTGAAACGAATAAAAACGATTTCTTAACAATCATTTTTATTGTTCAGTCTGACATTTCATAAAGCCAACTAAAAATCAAGCTATTATACGATCATTAGTATTAAATAAGAAGAGAAAATAATACGCTATTTTATACTAATTTTCTAATTTTTTATTTATATATTTCATAGATCAGCAACCTCGTCATGGTCACCTGCCAATTGATGCAAAAATGCTAATGATCGACACTAACGACATTAATGTTCGTACAATGTTCGTAACCAAATGTCACTGACATAGTAGTGATTATTAACGATAAATATACCGGATTAATCAATCATATGTACTTCCTGCATTAATTAATTACTTAAATAGCAAGGTCGTACTATATAATAAAACAGTGAGAACGGAGACGCTGAACGGCGATCGTACCGTCCCAATCCCATCAACCACTTGATCCTACCTCACCCCACTGTTTATCTCTATCGCGGGGATACTTTAGGCCAGCGGATTGTCTCGGTTGCAGCATCCTAGGGATGTACCTGTTCGGGGGTAAGTTTTGCATGTGGGCGGACCGGAGTCGGCCCTGCACCTGTGCCGAGGTGGTCTCGCGGCACCCATTGTGTCGCTGTGATCGCAAACATTTCAACGACATCGTCTGGGCACTAGTCACTGTTTTTCAGGTACCACTGTTCCTCCCTCTCTTAACACTATATATCATAACGAATTAATTTTTTACATGTTTAAAGCGACATACACGTATATATGCGTAGCCAATTTTTCGTGTACACGGTCTTTTTTCTCCTACCTATATTCGTGTCCACATTCTCTGTCTGTACAGATCGCCGGATCGTATATATATATATGTATATATACATATATTTTTCTTCGTGTTGAGCAAACGGACCCAGACATCTGATCCCACTGTCCCCTAAGCCCGCCCACGCTTCGTCCATTTTTCTCTCTTTGTTATCCGTGCCGAGTGACAGAGTCTTAATGGTTGCTTTGTATTTACATGCGTGCAATCGGTATATACGTATACATGTCGTTCACGTTTCACCATTTCGTTTACTCGCGCAGATTAAACTGCGCGACGACGACTCTACCCACGAGTGTGTGTTGTGATCTCGATTCAGCACACGTCTCATCCATGTAAAGCAACTAATGTGCTGCAGAAGCTGCTCGAGTTTCTGCCTTTCTATCACGTGTTTCCGTTTACATCTGTATTCTACGATGCAGTCTGATGGCGCATATCGATAACTTTCTAAATTTGCCACTGCACAATTAATGATTATTATGTATCAGTGGTATATATGCTTTTATTCGCGATAATAGATATTTATTTTATAATTTAAAAAGAATAAATATCCATAAATGTTAATAAATTAAATAATAAATATATGTTGAGACAGTTGCTATCTAATTACTTGTATCGTTAAATCTCATTCTTATCAGTGTACGCGCGGAAACTGTTTAAATTCAAATTTGACTGAATACTACTGACAACTACTACTATACATTTTTTGCGCATGTAAATAACAATCCTACTAACACTCGATACTAATCGTTTATTCGATACATTGAATTAATTTCTTTTGAATGTTGTTTTAAAAAATTTTTAAACAGCGTGTAACGTTATCAGGCTAGAAGGAGAAGTAGAAGATAGACTGAAAAGTTGATAAAGTTAGATAGACGAATACGTGGATAGAACACGAAAGCTCTCGCAAAGAGAAATTCGTGATAGAAAACATGACGCATGCATTTTTACAAAGTATTGCGACACTGATTGGCAAAACGTTTCGTGCCTCTCTATCGAATATTTGGATGCAACGTCGACTTGTTTTGTACGTCGATCTCTGTCGCGATTGCATGTATCTAAATGGTTTTAATAAAAAGAATAATTTAAAAGATATTCTGTAAAAATAAGTTGTTTGCTTCCAAATCTAATTGATGCAAATTAATTAAAGTTATTTTATCATTTAACATACTTCCATTTTCACCGTTTAATTTCATATGAATATAAATAACTATATTTAACGTAATATATAATTCAATACTTGAAATACCTCAATTAAAACTGTTAACACCAATCTATTAATATGGTAACGATTAAGTCAATAGATGTAATAGAATCTTTAAATAGAGAGAGATATATACATTTATTGCATAATAGTATTATAACATTGTTATAATGTTATAATTACTAATTTTAATGTAATTTTATTATATTTGTCCTATAATTTCAATTATTTGATCGTATTCATTATACCTTGCAAACACACACATGCGCACACACACACGCGCGCACACATACGATTTAAATTTAACAAAAAATATCTAAGATTTTTTTATCTGCGCGCGACATGTTTTACATTACGTAAATTTTTACCACGCTTCGAAAGAAAGAACGTCTTGCCGATCACGTGCTTGAATAAATAAGTGTAGACATCTATTCCATTTATATGCAGCGGGAGTCTCTTCCCATTTTTCTTTTTATGTAGATTCTCACACAGGAAGATTGGAATGTCGTCCTCTTCAACGGTATGCAGAAGACGTCTCATTGGGCTGCGCTTTATTTCGTAGCATTGATGACTTTCGGCAACTACGTCCTTTTTAATCTTCTAGTCGCCATTCTTGTTGAAGGTTTCTCGTCAGAGGTAGGAATTAGAAAATAATACACCGTTTTTGTTATTCAATATAATATTTAATAGATGTGTAATGCAGAAGATACAAAAATATAAAATAAATATGTACTATTTATGTAAATCTTTCAATTTATACTAAGAATTTAATCTGACTGTTTTATATTGCAGCAAATCTGTCTAAATCTGGGAATAGTCACTTGTGGTGTTTTTATATCCCAGCGGCAAAAAAATGTGAATTGTAAAATATTATTTTGTATGGATATTGTTTAACATATTTTCTTTCTTTTTAAATGATTAATTTATGAACCTTTAAATATGCAATTCCATCGAAAACATGCTTATTTCGTTCAATAATTCTTTGTAATTTCCATTCACTTTTTCTTAGAAAATTTTGATTAAATCCATATTTAATTTAAAATATTAATAAATCGAAAAGTAATCAACAATATATTGTTAATAATAATGATTTTAATTGGAATATAAAAATACGCCAAGCGATCGTTTACGTAAAAAAAAATATTATTCCCGGATTTTAAATATATTTTGTTTATAAAAATTTAATTTATAATTATTATATATACGTGTAAATGAACGGTATATAATTGATGGTATATTTTGTAGAGAAACGAGAGGAGGGAACGAGAGCAAAGAGAATTGGCGAAAAGACTCGCCGCAAAAGAGGCTGGTATGGGCAGCGAGGACGGATCGTCGAGAATATCGGGATCGCATTCGATCTCTGACAGCGATACGTATACTCAGGTAGTTGCTCGCAGTCGCTCCAAATAAATAAATCCAGAATCCTACGCTCATGTATTCCTCATTTTCTGTCACGCGGAGAAGATTGATTGCGAACGTCGCCTCTATTTTAAAATATTCTTTCAGAATTTTTTACAGAAAAGGATCAGCGTAAGATTCGCAAAATATCTAAAATATTCAAAGCATGAATTAAATATGCAAAAAATGTAATTTCCGAGTTATCTACTATTCATTGTATTGATTGCTAGAGAAGTACGAATAGAATTATAACAAACGAGAATTATTTATCTCATTGATTTATCTGAATGAATCAACATCAAATTTCCCTCGTACGACTTGTAGGATCAAAAGAATTCGTGGCAAAGTGCAGAAGAGCTTAGGAAGTACAAAGACAACAGGGAGAAGCAGAACAGCGTGTGGAAGCAGCGGATCGATGAACCTAAGTGTAACATCCAGAAAGAGAGCAAGATGATGGGTGTGGCGGGTCAGCCGCCGAAACAGCCACTCCTCAAGACTCCCCGAACACCACGTTAGATGTCGGCTACAGAGACCTCAATTGTCGAGCAGTTTATCCGACTGCTGCCCTTTCAATCGAGTCCATCGATCGATCTGGTGTATGTTGTTTCATTTTCAATAAAAAAACTCGTCGTTGTTAAACGACGCAAACGAAAGTTTTTGCTATGCGATTGATATACATAATACATTCGTATCTGTACTTGAAAAACCTTCGTTTTTTTTATATCGAATTAGATCAGTTAATATCGCGAAGTTCCCATACAATTTTGAATTCAAAAGATTTCCTACTGTATTTTATTAGAATTCTAGATTAAAGAAGGTACGTTACGAGAAAATACGATAATGACGAGTGCTTTGTATTCGCAGAGTCAGTGCAGTATACCCTCGGGATTGCTAAAACTACCCGATGTATCCAACAAAATACCGACGAATAACTTAATAGCTGGTCAATTCCCGAGACGCATAAGCCTCGTTACGGCCGTTGTTAATCCCTCGACGAGGGACTCGAGTTCTAGGTACCTACGTTTTCTCTGTTGCATTAAATGCCCTTCTTTTTTCTGGTACCACTTCTTTCCATTTCAGTCCGCCGAGGGTACAAAGAGGATACTCGTGGCGCTTGTCGCGGCCATCTTTGGGGAGGAAACGATGGTCGCAAAGCGATGACGAGCACACTGGCCATACTACTGTATTAAACAATGGACGTAGTACTCTCGTTGGATCCAATCTAACGTACGTTGTAAAAATATTATTTATCTCAAATTACTCTCGAAAAACATGAATAATTAATTAATTAATTAATTATCAACGTTCAAAGTTCACTGAACAAATGGATTTACAGCAAAAACAAATATTGCATTATATCATGCAATATTTGCTTTTGTTAATCATTTTATAATATACATTAAATTAATATGGAAATAATAAAATAAACATTATACCGCAATATATAATAATAATTGTAATAATAACAATTATAATATGTAATTTCTCGCAGATTTAATGGCGGTTATTTACACGGTTCAATAAGAAACGATACTCAACGCGATGCGCCCAATAATCGAACTACCGTCCTGACAAGCAATAATCGTAGTTTGAGTCCTAATAATTCGCTCGAAAGCCATGCTCCATGGTCGATTCGTTACACAGTTACGCCTAACCAGGTAAATTGTACGACACAATAACTTTGTTGACATTTCTTAAATCATAAATTATTACTTTACTATTGTGTTGATTTTATATCGTGCATTGAGGATATTTATCGATATCATAAAAAAATGCTGTTTAAAATAATATAACAATAAAACAATATATATACATAGAAAGGAAGATTTTGCTAAAGAGAGAGCATCCAAAAATTTAATTATATAGATATAGATTTGAAAATAATTTTGTGTTAGTTAGACCATATCAGAATAATTATATAGGACACTCATACTGATTACTACAATGTAAAAACTTTTTGTAGCGTTGCTCATCATGCTTGTGAGATTCCTACATAATTATTTTGATGGTTTAATCAAATTATCTTCAGCTCTGAATCTAACTTAAGCTAACTTTTAAATACTTCAACAAAATGGCTTCATATTTTTTTCATTTATATTTATATGAGTATTTATATTTTACTCATACATTAAGATTTTTGTTTTAAGTTATGGAAAAAGAGGAATTTTTTGTGAATTCTTATAGAATACAATTACTGGAACATGATTTACAGATGCGATTAATTGGCGAGCTTTCACGGAGAAATTCACTACGCGGATACGAGAATGTCCAGACGTCCACGAGGAAGACACTACCATTGGACGAGATGCTCGCACCGTCCTCGACCCCACGCACGATCAATAATCTCTCAATGGAGACCGGTCCGCTGCCAAGAATCAAACGACTCCATGAACAAGAAGAGGAACATCCGAGAACGGGTGGCGAACAAACCCCACCGTCGAATGGTCACGGTAGTGCAAGCAGTATCGAAAGGATAAAAAAAATATTCATGTTTTTCGAACCTAAGGGCTGTCTGCAGGAGCGCGAGAATTATTCCCTATATTTATTCCCACCAAATAACAGGTAACATTATAAATAGGAGTAACGTTGCTTGATTAGCATTTGAAATTTTACTACAAACTAGAAAGAATGCTACAATGGAGATATAATAATAAAGAATAATAAAAATATAAGGATATAGAATAAATTAACCGCTGGAAAAATAATGTAGATTTTATTATGTAATGTTATTATTAAATTAGCTGAAAATAAAAAATTAAAGTAAATAATTAGCATTGTTTATATAATTAGAGAATATATGGTATACAATTCATAGTTTTCTCGATATTGTAGATTTCGCATCTTATGTCAATGGTTCGTGGATCAAAAATGGTTCGATAACGTGGTATTGCTATTTATTGGATTAAATTGCATTACTCTGGCGATGGAACGACCGAATATACCGCCGGACAGTCGTGAGAGAATTTTTCTATCCACCGCGAATTACATTTTTACTGCTGTTTTCGCCATCGAGATGTTCATTAAGGTATACATACTAATACGATGTTTCAAAAATTTTGACATTTACATAATAATTTCGAACAAAACTGTTAACCTAAGTAAAACTTTTATTGTTTCACGATAACTAAGAAAGAATAAATGAGAGAAATTATTATAATTTATATAAAATTGTGCATAATTTACATTCCAATTATTCTTTAGGTCGTCGCAACAAGTATGTTGTATGGTCCAGACGCTTATTTTACATCAGGTTGGAATATTATGGACGGATCTCTCGTTATCATTTCTATAATTGATTTATCGATGTCGTTGCTCTCGTCTAGTAGCCCCAGAATATTTGGCATTTTAAGGGTAAGATTGTTATTCTTGTTAATAAGTATCCGTGTTTTTTAATCCTCTTTAGAACAGCAATTCTGATTTTAAACAAGAATGTAGTATTGAAATATTCGGGTAAATACTATCCTGATGAAAATTAACGTTTAACGTTGTTTGATAATACAAATGTAATTTGAGATTAAATTATAATAAATAGATTAAATTTTGTTAAAATTTAATGCTGATATATATTTATCTGTGTGAAAAAATGTAGGTATTTAGACTACTGAGATCACTGAGACCTCTGCGTGTCATCAATCGTGCACCTGGCTTAAAGCTAGTCGTCCAGACATTGCTGTCTTCATTACGACCCATCGGCAACATTGTTCTCATTTGCTGCACGTTTTTCGTGATTTTTGGTATTCTCGGGGTGCAGCTGTTTAAGGGTGCATTCTATTATTGCGATGGCCCCGATATCAAGAATGTACGCAATAAAACGGACTGTCTGGCCGATAAACGAAACATGTGGCTCAACAGAAAGTACAATTTCGACGATCTTGGTAAAGCTCTTATGTCATTGTTTGTTTTATCGTCGCGAGATGGATGGGTAAACATCATGTATACTGGTCTAGACGCTGTTGGAGTCGATCAGCAGGTAAGAAAATTACAACGAATGAGAATAAATATTTTTTCCTTCGACAATACTTTCCTGTCAATTGATCGCAAAGATACTTTTCCACAAATATTATAATTTAAATAAGCAGACGTTTTGATTTACAGCATGATAGTCTTCGAAGTGTGTTCGAAGTAGTGCGGCTTTATTTATATAATTTATTTTTATGTTTATAATACATATATAATTGAATCCCCAAGTACTCACATAATTTCCAACAAAATAATTGCAGCCTATCGAAAATTACTCTGAGTGGCGATTATTGTATTTCATCGCGTTCATATTGCTGGTGGGTTTCTTCGTGCTGAATATGTTCGTCGGAGTGGTGGTCGAGAATTTTCATAGATGCCGTGAAGAACAGGAGAAAGAAGAACGCGTGCGAAGGGCGGCTAAGCGCGCGTTGCAAATGGAGAAAAAGAGACGAAGTGAGTGGCCGCTCGGTCAACTAAGTTAATGCCACTTCTACATCACGCGAAGCAGATTACAAAGTTGGGAGATATCGATGTGTACGAAATAATGATAATTTTCAGAAATGCACGAGCCGCCGTACTACACCCATTATTCTAAAGCACGGCTGTTCGTCCACAACGTCGTAACATCCAAATACTTCGACCTGGCGATCGCCGCCGTTATCGGTCTTAATGTCGTTACAATGGCGATGGAATTTTACATGATGCCGAAAGCACTCACTTACGCACTGAAGATCTTTAATTATTTCTTCACCGCAGTTTTCATTCTCGAATCCTTAATGAAACTTGTCGCCCTCGGCATACAGCTTTATCTGAAAGACAAGTAAACAGCCTAATTTCTTTTCAGTATATATTTTTATTAACGCTATTTTTATTTTTATTAACAGTATTTTTATCAAGAATCGCGCCATTGGTTGTAAAATAAGTAGACCAATAGTCCGTAAGAAAGAAAGTCCTAATGGCGTTCTTCTTGAAGGTGGAACCAATTGGACGTGGGAATAGTAATACTATCAGTGGTCGGCATCGTGTTAGAGGAGGTTGAATCTAAGATTATTCCCATTAATCCCACAATAATTCGCGTAATGCGAGTGTTGCGAATAGCCCGGGTGTTGAAGCTCTTGAAAATGGCGAAGGGCATACGTGCCCTCTTGGACACGGTGATGCAGGCGTTACCGCAAGTCGGAAATCTGGGGCTGTTATTTTTTTTACTTTTCTTTATATTTGCCGCGCTAGGGGTGGAACTTTTCGGTCGACTAGGTAATTGATATTATGATATGAATTTAATTAGCTCTTAGGTGACCATGAAAATAGGAAATAGCTGGAATTTTGTAATTGCTTGCGTTCGATTTGGGCACTCATACGCGCTGTACGCTTTATTCTATCATTTATTACATGCAGAAGGAAGAAGAATGAAGCTTACAGCGCGTAATCGCCCAAATCGAACGCAGCTATTGAAAAATGTTAATTTTTCACCGCAGAATGCAATGATGATATGCCTTGCCAAGGTCTTGGCGAGCACGCGCACTTTAGTAACTTTGGCATGGCCTTTTTGACGCTTTTCCGGGTCGCCACTGGTGACAATTGGAATGGAATCATGAAGGACACGCTAAGGGACGATTGCGATGATGCGGCGGACTGTGTTAAAAATTGTTGTGTGAGCAGTATCATCGCACCAATATTTTTTGTGATTTTTGTTTTGATGGCACAATTTGTACTGGTGAACGTCGTCGTTGCTGTGTTGATGAAACATTTGGAAGAAAGTCACAAACAGGTGACGTTTCCTGATAATTTTATATAATTAATTCGACTTTATTTCGACTACAAAGATATGTGTGATAATTTTAATTTCAGATGGAAGACGAACTGGATATGGAAACACAATTGGAGAGAGAATTAGCAGCGGAACAAGAAGAACTTCTTGACGAGGAAGATGAGGATGACATAGCGATGAATGGCAGAATAAATGGCGACGAAGATGACGATGAAGATTACAAAGAACGCGAGTCAATGGTGGTAAACGAAAAAATACATATAAGACCAGGATTGGCTAAAGTTCGGTCTTTACCTGCGAATTTTATTTACAATCCACCGAGGGAGAGAAACGTCGATGGTGAGAGTATTACCCTAATAAGTAGATTGGAAGTATTGCACAATAATAAAATCATAAGTTGACAAAAATTTCCCAATAACTCTAAAATGATTCACTATAACACAACAGTTTTGTCAGAAACTTTGTAAAATTTCCACGTAATATTTATTAAAAATTCAATAAACTCAATTTGAGATATAAAATGTTTTTTTATATACAATCATTTCAAAAAACGTTTAATTCTTTTCTTAAAATTTTGCCATGCTGAATATGTAATATTTTATGTTGCAATATTTCTACATCTATTTTATAATATCCCATACAATTGCAAATTTTGTCATATAGTTTTATAAATCTTTTCCTATCGGAATAAGGGAAAGTTATTAACTATTTACGGAGGAGAGAAAGAGAGAGAGGAATTGGTTATTGTATTATAATATTACGATATTATATCTTTCATTCATTATGTTTCATTATAAGAATAATTGTCTTATATGTTTTCTAGATGCCTCGATTTCCGTATCCTTGGACGAAAAACGTCGCGGTTCGAGTTCGAGACCGTCCAAGTTTAAGTCAAAACGTCGGCAAACCTTCCACTCGAGCCATCATCAACGAAAGTCACTGCTGCCAATGCACTTTGAGGTCGCCGAAGTTTTTGAGAAACCTGTGAGTAATCTGAGCGTACCTCGAATTATTCCACATCGTAGCTACGCCATAACTAGTCAAGACGTCAGTCGAGTACAACGTCAGAAGTTGCCGGTAAGGATTTATATTTCGATGTCAGATTTTAAATAAGAAGTAGCATACATCAGTTAAATATGAATTATTATAAATCAAGATCAAATCTAGTGTTAAATACATACCAATATTCTTTAGAGTGCAACGTTGATTCGTATTCATATAATAAAAAATGTCTCATTCATATTTAGAACCACTTTTGTAAAAAATATTCTCATTCCCTCTTTCTCTTAGCAAAACATTTTTTAATGTTTACTGTAAAATTATCGTTCAGGATTAATAAAGTGAAATATCTCAATATAATTATATAATCAACATTAATTTTACAGGTAACCACCAGTGAAACGCGTGAAAATAAATCTCTGTTAACCGTGAGCAAACCGCCAACCAGTCCCTTATTGGTCACTTCCCCCGGCTCGAGCAGCACCCTAAGCGTCCCGCCGAAATTGACCAGCGATCGTTACCTCATGCCAACCGCTGAGATCTACCCGTCCAAGGCGACAATGAGCCGCTGGACATCGAGCGACACGCAATCACCGACGCCGTCGGATACGACGAGTGCGAGCGCCGGTACTAGCAGTACGCGAACTCCCAGCATCGCAAATGGCTATGTCGGTGGCAAAGCCCGACTAGAGGAACCAAAGAAGAAGATGATAGAAGAGAGAAGACGCCCAACGACAGCGATGGTGCCGACACCACCCCAAGAAGACCTTGATGTGCAGTCTGTTATCAACGAGAGGAGGCCGTCCAAGTTGAAAACGCATGATGCTGGCGCGTCCACCACCACCAGCATCGCCAGCGATCAGTACAGCGCGATGATCCGCGGCGAGGGTTACAGCCATATCTATGTCACCACCGAGGAAAGATCCGACGAAATCCCTTCGCCGTGCGGCAATGCGAGTGAGAGTACCGGTACCGGTAGCCTGAGCGTCGCCGGCAGTCTCAGTGCCGTCGCCAGCATCAGCGTCGCAGTGAGTGCTGGCGCGGCTGGTAGCATCAGCAACGGTAGTGGCAATGGTAGCGGTAGCCGAAGTGGTAACGGTAGTGGCAACGACGGTGGAGTGCACATCGGCGAAGGCGGCGCCATCGGATCTGACGTGAGAATATACGTGGACGACACAGACTCGGCGAGCAGCAGCAACGGGCAACGACGCGGCGGCAGATTGCGCGACGATGAAATCCAGGACGTCTCGACCACCATCTCCTCTACTACGACGATGAGAAATGGTAGAGGCAGTGGCGACACGGACGAAAGCAAGGAGACACCCGAGAGACCGTCCTCCACCGGTGGATCGTTGGATCCGCCTTCTTAATCCAGGGCGAACGAGCCAATGTAGTCTCTAGTTGTACGTACGAGATGTTTCCAAGGGATGAAACATAGTACACACATGTTATACACGTAGTATACACTGTACGGCGGAAACACATTATGATGGAAGATCGTAGGAGGGATTTAAGAAAGGGCTCTAAGAAAGACTGTAGTGCATGACAATATAGTCGTTATATTATAGTCGTGAACTTGCCAAAACGAACAAGTCGAGCATTTAGAGAGAGGTTGAACTTTCCGGAAGAAAGAGTGAGAGAGAGAGAGAGAGAGTACGAAAAAAATATTCTGCGCTTCGTGTAAACGAGATACGATCGCGCGAACGGCATGATATAATTAGGGAAATCTACTGTGTAGCGCAAAACAGTTACACAAAACGCGCGTATCATGTAACTTGAAAACCTATGACAATCTCTTATTGCCAACGGAACTAATTTCGTTGTTCCGTTTCCGAAACGTCAATGGAAGTCGATTCGTAGGAATTGGTAGGAAGAAGAACGACGTAGACCGCGTCGATAAAAATTAGAAAGAGAGAGAATTTTAGTAGTTTATAACTAGATCTTATGTCGAGTCTACGCGACAAAACTGCAATTAATTGGACCACACTGTCTCGCCTTTCCTTATTCTCTAACTCTTAAAAATTACGTGGGGTTCGCCGATTGGAAATCAAAGATGTCTACAATCGATCGATGTGGATTGTGTTTTTGTAATTGGATCGATTATAATAGGAATGATAATTAATCGGCAAAATTGGACTGATGTAATTTTTTTGCAATTATATATACATGTGCCTGGTCTTTTAACTATAGAATAATCTACTAGAATAATCAAATTTATATAAATTGAATTTTATCTAGTTTTTAAAAAGGATATGACAATTATTATTAGTGCATGAGAGTACAGAAATAATATAGAGAGTATAAAGGCTTTAATTTTCACAATTAATTTTTTAAACCAGAATTAAAGATCGATCAATTGTGACGATTATTGGACAATCGGCGTTCGAGAATCGTGATTTATCTTCGTTTCGTTCACTTCACTTCACTCTTTTCACACATTAGAGCGTTCTTCTCGTTGACATCTGTGATATACTTTAATCGTAGTGTATTTCCTAACGGTAACAGCAAATATCAGAATGAAATCATAACATCAGCAGCAGCAACAGCAGCAGCAGCAACAACAGCAGCAGCAGCAAGGAACAGCAACAATTTAAGGATGGTAGCTGACTTTTTAATAAAACGAAAACCAATGTTTCAGTGGCTTTCGTGGGGTAAAAATAGAGAGACAAAACAGAGATAAATAGGAACTCTATACTGTACATACATACACCTACGAATATTCTATACTCTACACTTGGTGTGGTTTATTTTGATACTACCGCGTGCGGTAATATATTTAACAATTGTCGAAGTAAATCTAACAAAAAAAAGAAGTAAGAATAAATAACTCTATGCCTTTTACGAGCGTTGACGAACCTTCGTGCGGTGGTGGTGCCCGCGTTCTTTTCTTTTCAGCTGCGAAAGGGCGACTGACAACTCCAACCACCCTTTGTCAGGTCGAAGGTGTAGTCGCTAAAATCATATTCAGGCGCGCCGGGCGCGTCGCATTGCTTGAAAAAAAAAATTAGTAGTAATCGTCGACCGATCGATCGCATGGTCGATACTACGTTTCATTTAAAAAGCCTAACAAAATCTCGAGTCGCGTTTTTGCGTTGAACTTAAGTGGAATCCCTAGTCCAATGCTGATCGGAACAGTCGGACTTCATTGAGTCTTCGGTGGAAACACTTTGGTGCACAGTGGTTCCATGGAGTTGCGTTTAACACCAGAATGGCTAAGAATTTGCTCTCTAGAAAAATAGTTTCTTAACACGAGAAAGATTACATTATATACAGTTAAAAAATATAATATAAGTGCGTTCGGGAAGACGCTATTAGCGCTATTTGTGCCATTCTATCCTTGTTTTACATTTAATAAACAACGAAGATAGGATGATAGAAGTAGCGCTAATAGCGTCTCCCCGAACGCACTGTGTAACTCTGTTATATCTCGTTTCTTGAATATTATCAATGATATTTTATAGTGCACGATTGTGCACGTGTGATCGAAATTCGCAGCGTGCCTCTGGAAGCTGAATTATACACACTACATTTTCTATATTTAATTATTTGTAAAGAGATCGACTTTCACAGATCGAGATGTTGAAAATTACTATTATACTTCGTGTCATTATGTGAAAGAGAAAGTAAGACTTAAAACTTTTACAAAATCACAAACTTTGTAAGATTTAAAAAGAATATATAGTAATTCGTGTAACTGTCTTTGCCATTCTGGTGATAAATCTCAATTGGAAACAATGTGGCACAAAATAAATATAGCAAAAATAGACAGAAAGCAACGAGTGATTCCGAATTGCTATCAAATCATGTTAAGTTGAATCCAGATCAATCAAATGAGTATGAACGAACGCGAATGAACAATGATAGCACCGTTTGCACTTGAAGTAAGTTGTTTATTCGAGTTTGTTTGCTTGGTCTAGATCCGGCTTTATTTTAAGGAAAGTACGTAGATAATCTCGTATCCATGCGCTTACGTACATGTACTCGCGTTTCTTCGGCACCACGACCGGCTCTCGATAGCTCGATAGCGTTAGACGACTGACCTCCGAATTATAGTTACTCTAGACGCGCCGATTATGGTCGTGCGCGAGTTCGCCGATCAGCTGCACACGTATCGATAGTCCGGCAGTTGCGTACTGTATAAAAAAAAAAGATACATAGAAACATCGGTTCAAAAGGGTGAAGAAACATAAAGTGTTGTTACAGAATTTTATGATCGTGCGTATAATATGGAAAGAGGAATGTCGTATCAAAATTCGCAGCGCATGCCTCTCGAGTCTGTTCTTCGCCTGTAGAGAAGGCAGTGCGTAATCGTCGAATTAATGAAAAATGGTAAAACTATAAAACTAAACATAACGAAGAGAAGCGGAAAACCAAGATCGGGCCGCGGCTGGCCCCCCCAAGATATATAACGTGCTATTTTAATTACGGTAATGAGGTGTGTAATCAGTCGGTGTAGAACCGCCAGGGATAGTCTTTTCCTGTCTGCCTGATATCTTGCGTGTATGCGCTTAATGACTGGTGAGATGCGAAACTTTGGCCTCGCACCACCACATGAAGCCGGAGAGTACGATAAGAATATGGGGTACGTGTGCGACGGAGAACGCGTGAGGAGAGATTCGAGATAGCGGAGAGTTCGAAGAAAGAATTAAATATGTACAAATGTAATAAATCGTGCGACGATTACGTTGAACCTATTGTTTTTATTGAGCAACCACCCACTGTCCTGATTTACATTCAGCGTTTAATCGATATTGCACGGGTAATATCAAATCGCAATTTGATTCGACACATCCGGTCTATCAACGAGAATCTGTTACTTACGATGATAATTTATTATTATTATTAAATTCGTTGTAAATTCAATCGAGCTACTTTTATTGACGCGTCCTTTACTGAATTTTATTTGATAAAACTATAAGTTACACTCTTTTACTTCGAAAGTAACAATTTAGAAAACATGATTTTCGAGTTGTTACTATGAATGAGTTAGATAAACATTGCCTTATCATTCATTAAAAGTGAGCTAGCTTAACATCATAAAAAATTGTCAAAATCGTACAACTATAAAGAAATAATTCTTTTGAAAAGCGTCACAATTAAGAGTGATTTTTTAAAGGTTGTGAAATAAAAATGACAAAGATGACATTTGATCATGTTAAAATATATATTTTTTTACCAATATTATTTGATTGGTTAATAATTTTCTGTTGAGTTAAAAATAGTTTTTCCCCCTATTCTGAAAAAACTTTTTTCATTTATGTCTTTTGAAGTAAGGAAACGATAATATTTTAGGAAAAATATGACTTTCATGTACTTGATACGTTCATGTTTCACTAAGTGTCCCGTGCACCCGTATTCTGTAGATACATGTATACTCTGGATTACCACTATTAGAATGTACTTTCACCTCGATTATATCGTACACTTTTTTTGCTCGATTCTATAAATAATTTTTTGATCTCATGTAATTGAATACAAAAGTTAATAATTGAGAATTCTAAAGATAAATGTTGATTATATATAAAAGTCTATTGTGCTCTACCTGGACCTCAAAGTATTGCAACGGCGAACCAGTATTGTCGTATATAAAACTGCCAAATGAGAAAGGCTTCTTATCATCCAGATCTGACAAACCCTAAAATCAATACATATAATATGCGACAGGCAGCTGTTTGAAGTACCAAATATAATACCTGTACGTTTATATAGGTACATATAACGATACATGTTGATAAGATATACTTGTTTACGATGTTGTAATATACAAACTGTATATAATACTACATGTATAGTTGCATAATCAGCTCACCCAAACGGAAAAATCTTTTGGCGCCGTAGCAGTTTCCCCAGTAGGGGATATCAATGAAGAGATGTGTTCAAGGCTAACTCCGGACACGTGCACATGGCCGAGTAATCGAATCACCACGCTGCCGCTGCTGCCCTTGAAGGCCCAGCATTCGCCCGGCAAAACGCCGATCTGGTAAATACTTTGGGATCAGAATGTCAGTGATATTAAATATAGTCAGGTAACCTGTATCACAGCCCGGGGTGTGTTCTGCTGCTGACAAAGTGGTATGCCGAATAGATTGAGCACAGGTGCACCAGTCGAATATGATTCGGTGTCTCGTGTCGAAAGAATCGCACCACCTGCGGATAAAGGACCATGTGACGATGCGCCGAAAATGTATTCCTAGGTAGAATATAGAGTCATAATGATCATAGGACTTCATATAACTTCATTTCATTTGTCACTTATAAATGAACTTATGATGACGTCCTTATGATATTATCAGAGAGAATCAATTATTCTCTTTGATTATTATGGCTTCTATGCTTTACCTAGATTATTATGCCCTCTTTTGTAATCTTTTTTTATTACAAATGATCAAGGAAATATTTATTAATGGAAATTATCAAGGAAACAACTATTTATGGGAAAAAGATAATTTTACAATTGCAAAAAAAAATGTATTGCATATCTTTATAATTAATAAAATTGTATGATAGTTTCTGGGAAAAGTTACAAAAAGTGCAAGTTATTTTTAAGTGGACTAAAAAAAAGAAATAAAAAGGCCTGTGCCTTTGTGTGTAAGTATTCTACTTACGCATGAAATTGTTAGCAGGTCGCAGCAGAGCGCCCTTTAATTAACATATTCTGTATAAAAAAAACTACGTAAAAATAGACTATTGGATAAAACCTGAACTTTCAAGAGCGTAATCCGTTCTTCCAGTTTTGTCGGCGTCATATGTCTGTAATTCATTTTTCACCATATTTCTAACGGTCTCCGGTGACAAAGCTTTCAGCAAATTCTTCGTGTGCAGACTCATTTCTGTTGTAACGCGTAGAGAAATGTTAAAAACTTGCAAAATCATTTGTTGAATAAAAAGATAAAAAGAATATAAATATAAAACAATA